TGTGCGTGTGCGTGCGTGTGTGTGTGCGTGTGTGTGTGTGTGTGTGTGTGTGTGTATGTGTGTGTTGGAGGGGGTACGTGCAAAGCAAAGATCCTATTTGTAACATAGACACTGGATAGTGGGTAGATAATGTGTTCTAACAAAACACATTCCCAGTTGGCCCAGTTTGGCCCTGACAGAAAGGGTCGAAGCGGCCGATCTATATAATAATAAATGACTTTAGTTGCGTCGATGGAGGAGTGAAACATAACATACTATGAATCATATGAATTGATCTGATTTCACTGACAGTGCGCAGAGGCGAGAAGGATTATTTTTTTTAATAGACAAAAAAACAACAACGAATTTTCAAGCTGTAGTTTTTGTCTACCGTAAGTCACGACGTGTCATACTCTCAGACTGAGAGTCGATAGATCACTTGTTGGGAAAGAAGCCCCGTCTTTCTTCTGGAGATATCATCATTCATTTAGTTGCTTAGATAATACACGAAAAAAAATTCGATTCACGCTATGAAGTGCAAAATTCTAATTCAATTTTGTACCGAAAAAATATATTTCTTCTAAATTAAATTTTGCTCTGAGTCACACTGTTTTCTTTCCTGGTAATTGTGGCACGTGGTTTTCGTCTGTCGTTTCCCAGAGGAGAGATCTTTTGCGGTCAGTTTGACAAGTCCCCTTTTCAGCTGGTCAGTTTGACTTTTGAAACGGCTTATGAAACATATTATTATGCTGGACTTCTTATCGTCGTGTACATTGGCGTGCGGTGAAAGATTTATACAGTTTAATATGTGTGTCATAGACTTTAATCTTAATATCCTAGACCGCGGGTGGTTGGAGGGTGCTACTAGTACTATAGAAGGCCCTACTTTACTTTCCTTCTGTTGTTTCTGTGCCTGCCTTGCTTTTTCCCAGCACTAAATGACCATTATTGTGTCGATGCGCCTGTCTTTACACAAACAATATTATCCAAGATCATGCTCTGCCAAGGCCGCTGCTCTTTGCTCTCTATGAAGAATTTGCTGCGACGGGTGTGCACCATTGGCGTCCAATAATGAAAGATAAAACGTCGGCTTGTTATAGTCGAGTTTTTGTTTGAGTTTTCGAATGTACGGTACACTTCTTACCCGATGCACATAAAATAACCACGATAAGTGATTTGGAATCTCACTTCGGGCAAGTTAATTTCATTTAATATATCCGTGTTTCTGCTGGGATACTGCATCCCACTCAACTAGGGTTGTCCCTGACAGACCCTATTGAAGCAGTCCACCTCCTAAATTAAATGGTCTAAAATTGTGTCAGTAGAGGCGTAACATTTTTAGTCTTTATGTCCAGACTTGTTCTTTTTAAAATTCAAAGTGGGTGGTTGGAAGACGCCACTGGTTGGTCCTACTTTCTTTCTTTCCTTCTGTTGCTACTGTCATACTGTCATGCTTTTTTACCCACATTAAATGACCGTTACTGTGTCGGCGTGCTTCTCTTTACTCAAACAAACAAAAACAGTTTTTATTCAAAAGGCAGTGATAATATAGCTCCGTATTCTTACCCATCTCCTTTAAAATGGAACTGAATGTTGTAATGTGATTTCTATTGCGTGTGTCCTGAAAATGGTCCCAACCAAAGTTTCTTACTTTTTCAGTTCAGTAGTGGACCGAATTCTTCAACCACTGTGTTAGAATTCTGATAATCACAGCAGGTTGAAAAAGGATATGGTGATTACTTGGAAGCACAGTACCGTTGCTATTTTAATTCAAGGTCTTGCATGGTAGGAGATTGTATGAATGCGCGTATCTTTTTTTTTAAATTATTATTTTTTATTTGGGTTGAAATTTAAGTCTTTCTCACTTTTTTCCCTTCTCAGATCACCAGCTCTGGAATATGTTTAGAAGAGTACATAACTTCAGGTGAGTCCAGTTATCCAACTTGCTACTTGAACCTTTTTTTTCATCTAAGAAATTAACATGTGCGTTTGTTTTTAGATTTATTGTAAAAGACTTTTACACAACATGTAATAGTAATAATGTTAGTCTTTTCTTGTTTGTTAGCAAATGTGCGAGCATGTACATGCGTTTTGAGTTCTCCGAATTTTGCGTATGCCTGTAACTAATTCTCTGCAAATTTAGTAAAAGCAAAATAATAGAATGTTATGTTTGAGAGAAAGTGGAACTTTACCTTGAAATACGTCATGTCTTTAGTAAGGGTGCACTCCAGTGTTGTGAGATATTAGTGGGTGGGTGGCGGGTGCCCCTTCTTTCCTATCTAATATCTATCGTCCTTATCTCTCCTACTTCTTTTATTTGCATATTACCGTCTAGAATCACCTCTAATCTTCCGACACTTATGTGACTTAAGACTCGTACTAAATCTAAAACTGAAACTAAAATTAAAAAGAATGTGTTTCAGGCTGTTCTTGCTGTTTGTTTTTGTTTTGTAATCAAATTGAACATTTTTCAGAATGGAATTTTACGTGATGGTATGTGCCCACCGATCGATCTAGATAATCTAGTGATATGAGTGCGGAAGTGCAATAGGAAAACCCACGATTATTTTATCCTCCCGGAAATTTGCTTCACGGTGTGGTGTGCATACATTGAAAGCTTACAATAATATTCTCCGTCCAGAGCTCTCAACGATCAATTTGAATACCCCAACACTGTCAGCTGTTTCTTCCTACTTCTTTCATTTCTCTTTGTTTTTTCTGTTCGTGTCTGATTTTTAAAAATACCTTTGCAGTAAATGACCGTTGTTGCGTCGATGCGCTTCTCTTTACCTTTAAGAAACAACGCCAACAGCAACAACAACACCCC